CATGAATTTTGGATTGCTCAATGTATTCTTGCCTATGTTGAAGCAATGGGTCATAGTGGTACACGTGTTTACTGGACACATCCACTTATTGGTGAAATACTCCGACCATTTGGAATGGAACTTACTGTTGAAGATCATGATTTACATCATCGATATGGAAAAAGTGGTAAGAATTATGGGAAACAAACAAGAATTTTCGATCGAATTTTTAATACAATCAGCGAACGTATTGAAGGTGTAGAAAAATAATTCATATTATCATGAACTATTGAAAATTATCTATTGCATTGAATAATTTTATTATATACAATATAATGTACAAATTTAAATATTGAATTTTCAAAATAAAAGTAATTCTTTAATTATAATAGAATGTCATCGTGAAAATTTTTAGACATATCAATTGTTTCTATTAGATCTAGAATGTTTATTAATTTTTAAACGGAAATAAATATATATCACCAGGCTTATTCATTGGAGAGAAGGGATTTTTAATGATTCGAAAGGTTGATAAATATTTGCAATGTTCTTTTGTTACAAAAATCAGCTGTTATCTGAATAAAATCTTGAAGGTGTGAGTATGGATGCGAGTGTTGTTCTCACTATGACCCATATTCATCCCTCATCCACACCCTTTTTCTTCATCATACGAGGCCTCGCTCAACACTATTAGAACTCAGTTCCATGTAAGTTATTCTTTTTTTTATTTTTTATTACAGAGAATACTCTCTTATAGAATAAAAAATATAAATATACCTGAGAAGGTCATTTATACAAATACGTATGTAAGTGTATTATCATATCAGTCGGCTTTCTCCATTACGTTTTTATTCTTTACAGAGTTGTTTTTTGTATGTGCACGCGAGCAACTAAAATATAGAATTAATTCAAAAATAAGTAAACAAAATCTTCGTTTATTTATCAATTATTCTTTATAGTTTCTTTTTGATATTTTCAATACTCTTTTTCACAATTTCTATATGACGATGAGTTGGAGGTAATGTACGATGGAATATATCCAGAGCACGTTCATAACATGAAAGTGCTTTCGAATAGTCTTTCATATTCTTATACACTTTACCAATGTTGTTGTATGACGTAGCCAAATCAGGATGATTTGATGGAAGAGTTTTTTCTTGAATTTCAAGTGCTTTTTCGGAAAATGAAAGTGCTTTCGAATAGTCTTTTATATTCTTATACATTTTACCAATGTTGTTGTATGACGTAGCCAAATCAGAATGATTTAATGGAAGAGCTTTCTGTTGAATTTCAAGCGCTTTTTTGTAAAATGAAAGTGCGTTTGGGTACTCTCCCATATTATAATGCGCATTACCGATGTTGTCGTATGAGGTAGCCAAATAAGGATGATTTGAAGGAAGAGTTTTTTGATAGATTTCATGTGCTTTTTCCTGAGATGACAGTCCTTTCGAGTACTCTCCCATGCTTTTATACACTAAACCGATGTTGTTGTATAAAGTAGCCAAATCAGGATGATTTGATGGAAGAGATTTATCTTGAATTTCAAGTGCCTTTTCGTAAAATGAAAGTGCTTTCGAGTACTCTGCCATATTAAAATACATACTACCGATGTTATTGTATGAAGTAGCCAAATGAGGATGATTTGAAGGAAGAGCTTGTTCTCGAATTCCAAGTGCTTTTTCGTAATATGAAAGAGCTTTCGAGTACTCTCCCATGTTGTCGTAGACACTACCGATATTGTCGTATGAAGTAGCCAAATCAGGATGATTCGAAGGAAGAGTTTTTTGATACATCTCAAGTGCTTTTCCGTGAGATGAAAGTGCATTCGAGTATTCTCCCATGCTGTGATACGCACTACCGATATTATTGTATGAAGTAGCCAAATCAGGATGATCTGATGAAAGAGTTCTTTGAAAGATTTCAAGCGCTTTTTCGTGAGATGAAAGTGCTTTCGAGTATTCTCCCATCTTGTCATACACTAAACCGATGTTGCTGTATGAAGTAGCCAAATCAGGATGATTTGATAGAAGAGTTTGTTGTTGAATTTCCAATGCTTTTTCGTGAGATGAAAGTGCTTTCGAGTATTCTCCCATGTTCTCATACAGATTACCGATATTGTTATATGAAGTAGCCAAATGAGGATGATTTGAAGGAAGAGTTTTTTCTCGAATTTCCAATGCTTTTTTGTAAAATGAAAGTGCTTTCGAGTACTCTCCTATGTCTTTATAGACGTTGCCAATCAAGTCGTATAAATTAGCTAACTCTGGATGATTTGGAGGAAGACCGTTTTGTGTAATTTCAAGTCCTTGTTCGTAATACCAAAGAGCCTTTTCATAATTACCGTGACCATGTTTAATATATCCGAGACAACCACAATAAAGCGCTTTTTCAGCCTCATCAGATGTCTGTTCGAGCAATACGTTATAAAGTTCTTCAGCCTTATTAAGTTGACGAATATTTATCAATAAGTTACCCAGTCTGTGCCGTCCAGTACCACCACCAGCTTCTCCTCGCATCCGATCAGTAAGTAATCGTAGTTGTTGATCATCATCCGATGTTAATTGTAATTCAACTTGATGAAGGTGATTATTATTGCCTATTTGTTTAGTTGCAACCACTCGAAAAACGGTGTGCATTGAGAAGAGAATTTCATCTTCTTCCTTAAAATAGCTCATATCTTTAATGGAGGCAAACGGTGTTGATTGAATACAAGGATCAATGGACATTATAAAAAGAACGCCCATCGTATCCGGCTTTGTTGACGCACATCGAGCAAAATCGAGAGATACATGTTTATCTCTACTCGTGGACAAGAAATTATTAAATGAGATTAGTACAGCTTTTGGTTTTTGAAGTTTTTCAAAATCTGATTCTGAAACACCTTGTCCTCGATAAACTAAGAAAGGTTGTCTTCCATAACTATTGACCTGTTGTTCGTACAACTGTCGAATTTGTTCATGTAAATCTCGCAGAAAAATCCCATAGTGATAATTATATCAGCGTCCATTGTTCTAAGGCCATAATTGAGCATAGAAAAGATATTCGATGGAAAAGTGTACCACCAAATAGCTATTTGGGCATGGTATTCTTTCTCAAAACGGTCAATATATTTTGGTGACACACAGTCATGATCTCGACAGTAAGTAATAAAGTGTTTGACAGCCTGTTCATTATGTTTCATATCAAGAAGAATTTCCTTGAATAGCTGGGTATACATAAAAGTCGGGTCCAGCTGATTTAGATTATCAGTTGACTTCATGTCATTTACTGTCACAAAGCTGATGGCAATCGAATTTTGATGGTATTGTTTAATATCCACTTGTAATCCTTGACATATATCATCAATGTTAGTATGCACGCACTTGATTTTTTGCCATTTTTTTGTCCATTCTTCATGTAGGGTTTTAATATCATTCAAGATATAAACACTATCCAGTTGAGGAATATCATTTATGAGGGGTATTATTTGTTGATACATAGTATCCTTGACAACAAGAAAAAACTTGACGTCTTCTTGAGCATCTGTAAGAAAGTCGATGCATGCATCTCGTTGCGTAAAGGCATTGACATCACCAGCAATAGTTCGTATTTGTTTCAATGTATTTTCATAATCTTCATTTGTTTGGTCGATGCTGGTATCGACCCATAGAAGAAGGTAGTTTTGTCCCATACGTCGTCGTGGTTGACGAATATTTGATGATGTCGTCGATTTGAATGATGTAGCAGCATTTTGATTCGATCTTGATTCGCTCATTCTGATCTTGTTGTAGTTTGTTCTTGAAGATGAACCTGTCAGAAAATATTGTTGTTGGAATGAAAAGAAAGATACCGTTCTTCTTTATATAGACAGTTACTTGATTTTTTCCAAGTTATAGACGATTTCGAATGCGCGTGTTTTTTTCTTGACACTCAAAAACAAACTTCACCTGCTTACTTTTGAAAATAATATTATGAAGAGGAAATAACAGGTAGAATGAAACAAATGCATCGATGCGAAACTAGAAAGACGACCAATTATATTTCGAATACGGTTGATCAATCCGAAAAACAACCACAAAATACCTATCCAGCTCCATAAAATACCCAATATCTTTTTTATTTACTATTTTTCACCTAAGTCTTATTTTGATCTTAATTAAAATGAAAAATAATTGACAGAAATTTTCTAATAAAATATTTGATAAAACAATTAGTATATTGTTGAAATGTAGTAGATATATAGACGGTTAATAAAAAGAATGACCTTCTTAAACTATTTTCTCAGAAATTATAATAAATGTATTTTCAATGACTGAAACTACGAAATTTTCAACTGAAAAAGAAAAAACTATGAGTGGTTCATATTTATTATATACCATCATGTGATTCGATGAGTGGGGATATTTAATCTACTCGCTTACCCACATTTACATCCATACCTTCAAGATATGTCTTTTTTTATTCAATGTCTTGTGCTGCAATATTGAAAGAAAAAATACTACGATACATACTTTCAAAATAAAGAATAAGAAAGTAAGTATTGTTACAAACGGATTTGAAAAAAAATTGGTAGTTATTCTATCATTATCTAGACATATGTTTGATGATTTATAAGAACAAAAAAAACGAAGAAGAAAAGAAATTATCTGTTGATTCTTCAACGAGAAACGTACAGATATCTCGACCATAGAGGAATTCAGTGTAATAAGCGCTTATAATACTAATAATCCCCCTTCAAGTAGTGCGTTTAATACTGATTTAATCTGACTTTGTGTTTTTTTATTCTTACATCTTTTGCGTAGATTATTAGAGGTGCTCAACACGTTGTTCTATTTAAGTTAATTTTAAGGTCTTCTATGAATAATGATTCTTTGATTAATAATCTATAATGTTGATTATTTTTAGACAAATTCTACCAATTTTTCCAGCCAGTTTTATGATTGGTATCCAATTCAATCTAGCACCCACACCCACATCCACATCCGTTTTCATTACCTATACGTCATTATAGCATTATCAATTAAAAAGGATTCCACGTCTAACTTTGCATCTCTGGGCGGACATAATCGCCGTCGTCATCTGGTAAGTGAAATGATTCTCTTTCGTTGAGGATGAACGATATTCTATTGTATCGGACGGGATCATTACAAAAAAATCGATTGATCTTTAAAAAACATTCTATACAACGAAAATGAAAAACAAGTATAATAATCATTCTTGCAAAAAATAACTCGAAAAATAAAATGTTAGAAAGCATAAACAGATAGATTCTGTTTCCCATTAATGGTAAAATTATTCTGCTTTTATTTTTATCAATTTTAAGATAACAATTCTAAACTTTTGTTTCCCGATTTTAGTTAATAAACACAAACACACAGAACAAAAACACAAAAGCAACGGTCACGTGAACGACCGTTTCCGATGGTCGGAACGATCGTACTGGGCGATGCTCGACTCGACTTCTTCAACTGCTCATCTGTGCATGATCATATTCTTTGCATAAATTTATGGAATAAGGTAACTGTCATCACGATAAAATATGATGTGCTAAGGAAAGTGACGGACATCTTTTGAATGACACTCCGTTCGTCTGTTTCACTAATACGTGATCTTTTTCTCCCCTATTGCCTGTTTCTTTCCTCACGATGGTGGGTATGAATGAATCCTCACATCTTCAATACATTTGCAAAAAAAATAGATGTTTCATTTTGAATATCAAATTTTTTTGTTTTGAAAGAAGAATTGATGGCAATTAGCAGTATGATGCAACTTTAACTCTTTGTCTGCATATGGATTTGTCATAGACTGTTCCTTGTGTATAATTTCGATTCCTTCCATTGCCCATTTCGGTTTCATATCATTTATTACTATTCTAATTTGTTATATTGTTACTCAGCAACGTTTTATATTTCAGATATGTCAAAGTATTGTGATCAAGTAGTGGTGAGTAATCTCAAAAGTCAGCAAAAAAAGGTTTTTTTAGGCTAAAACATTGAAATTTTACCAGAGAGTAGTATTTAGAAGAGAATAATTCATGTTTATCGTTCGTTTAGCCTAATATGAATAATAAAATTAATTGGCCACCTGTCAACATAGTAGGCACTGTGGATTTGGTTGATCCTGCACCATTAACCACCTCATGGATATATTATGCCGTTGGCTGTATAATTGTGAGGAAGATCAATTAAGTATTATCTTTATTCTTCCCAAACTTGAATCCTTTTTTTAGGTGATTTAATGGAGCTTTTAAGTAAGATACGATTTGGATATTTTTACTATGTCCAACTGAGAAAGCTAAAAAGAATTCGTTTATTTTACTAGACTTTTGTTTCTCGATTTTAGTTAATGAACATAAATAAACAGAACAAAAGCACAAAAACAACTTGATGATACTCGAGTGAATCTGAGCAATTGCTCTCATGTAAATGATCCTACGGAATGGGCCGGTTTATTAAATAAGGTCACTGATATAGCGATAGAATTTGGCAAAACTCAAGAACAACTGAAAACAATGCAAGGTGCGTTTATATTTTACTTTACTTATCATAATTTATATTTCTTTATATAGAACTTCATATTGGAAGAGGTGGTACATTGCCATATACAGAAGATGGTATATGAAAATAAATACATTCATTTTTAATTATATTGAGGGTGTGG